GGGTGCACACGCACCCCATAATCTTGGTGTTGTTTGAATATTAGCAATACTAAGAAATACTGGGGTACTTGTGCTACCAACAAGCTTGGCAGTTACAAATAGTTTCTAAACATTATTTTTTTTAGAGTTCAATGTGATAGAGAGCGTGGTAATAGAGAAGTATTCTATTTGGGTTATGATTATAAAACAATCACAGATCTGATACATACAGGTCTACCATGGCATCACTATGAGTGTTCGCACTCTGAAAAGGAGACTTCAGGGCTATAATTACGTGAAAAAGAAAATAAACGTTGATGAAGACTTGATTAGAAACATCATTAGAACATCATCGTTTATCAGGTTTTATATAAAATATGAAATCACATTTCAAACACAGAAAAGAAAAAAGAAACGATCATTAACCCGCGTACACTTTCGTGCCATATTTGGGGCAAAAATTGCCCATGGCATACTAGCCCAGACTTTCGCCACATGAGCTGCAAAAATTCGTCATTATCAAAAATGGCGGACTGCTGATTTCCACGGAGGAGGCTCATTTCTACGGAGGAGGCTCAGTTCTACGGAGGAGGCTCATTTCTAAGGAGGAGGCTCGGTTCCATGGAGGAGGCTCGGTTCCACGGAGGAGGCTCGGTTCCACGGAGGAGGCTCATTTCTACGGAGGAGGCTCATATCTACGGAGGAAGCTCATTTATACGGAGGAGGCTCATTTCTACGGAGGAAGCGGATTTCTGCAGAGGAGGCTCATTTCTAAGAAACAGGCTTATATTTGTATGGAAAACAAGAACAGTTGCAAAGAGAAAGCGAGGTTTTAATTAGAAACGTGTTTGTTTTACAGTGTGCAGCAGTGGCACCTGTGAGCCACCGTAGAAAACCCTTGATATTTAACATTATTAAAAACTAGATCATTGGATAATGCAATGCAAGACTTTTTATTGGCTTAGCCATTATGGTATATCAGCCAATATACCATAATCTACAGATATGGTAAGCGTACGTGTCAGCTTAAAATTAAAAGGGAGCTAAAATTAATAAAATTTAATAATTTAATATAACGTTTTTAATAAAACGTTAAATTATCTATCTATCATCTTATATCCAACAAGCGCGAGTGGAATAATTGTTAATTAGACTAACAAGTCTAGCAATAGTCCATTTCCGAATTACCCTTGGCCTCTTTTTCAAAACGAGGCCTGGTGCTCACATTCTTGTGAAAATGAGTTTAATTTGCATGTGAATGAAAACTTATAATCATATGAAAGGATGAGCACCAGGACGCGTTTTGAAAATGAGGCCAAGGGTAATTCGGAAATGGGCTATTATTCGCCGTGGGCGAAGTGAATATTGCTGAATAGTCCCCGAGACGAAGTCGAGCAGATTATTCAACAATATTCAATGAGCCTGAGGTGAAAACTTGTTTAATTATAATTGCTCCGGTGCTTTCAAATGCCATTGTAAATTCATTACTCGAATCGAGATGAGCCGCCAATTTCTGCTTGAATTTAACAGGTTTATTTAATCCAATCAGTAAAAGCTTCATGTCTTTCTTTAAAAAGTGTTACCCCAAACTTAGAAGCATCTTTTGAGCTCTTCAGAATTGTATTTTCTTCTATTGCGTTTATCCCTTCTTCTGGTAACATTGACAAAACGCGAGGCTGCCATTTTGAAATTTAGTGCCCCTGCTATAATCACCCCGCGCGAGGGGATTATAGCGAGATATGACGCAATTATCGACCATCTCTTATCACCGTAGCAATAGTATGCTAATTATCCCTAATTTCACTCGGAGGACATCTTGCGTCACGGGTAGGTTTGTAAACTAACTCCCGGGGGAACTGACGTCACAAAGCCTGAATGAGATCATGATGGATGGGAAGAGGTGAAATACTGCGACAACAGTTACAATGAGTTTTGAGAAGGAGCTGAATGAAAGCGAACAGAAATCCGCAAGAAGCCAGAGGCCATTTTTAACTGGAGGCCTCAATGTAAACAATATCATCCCTTTAAAATTGTTGAACGAAACAGGAAGTGAAAGTATCGTTTATCCAGCTAAGGACCAATCCTAATTATCACCGGGGACGGGGGGTGGGGCGGAGAAATTTTGTGGGGGTCCGCATTGTTTTCAAGGTGAACGCAGGGGACCATGCAGTCGTCGCCATCAGGTATAAAGGAGACTGGGGACTATAGAGTTAGTCGAATACGTATCGGGTGAAGAGGAAAGAAAATTCAGTGTCTTTAAATTCTGCTTTAATTTAATTGAAGAACAAAATCGAATCAGTTTAAACATTTCATCCATGATACTTATGTACAATACAAGAATATTATCCAATGGAACAGTTTTCCTGAAAATAACTCACGATAAATATGAATCGTATCTGTTTCTTACTTTCGAGACCCTAGTTACACCTTAAATCAGTTCAATGAAAAACAATTCAACTCTTCTGTCTTTTCTCAATCTGTACACGAGCCTGTATGAGGCTACTTAAAGTAGATTTTTATCCCGTTGACCAATAAAACCTTTTACTTTAAACAAAAGTGTTTCAAGCAAGAGCCTTTCCAACTTGACTAAAAAAATGCAATATTGACCCCAATTAAAACTTGAAGTGAAACGTCCAACTTCTCTGTCTTTCTCGATATGTGCACGAGCCTTTTAAACTTTAACTGGGAATCGACCTCTCTACAACTAACCTCTTTTTCTATTTTTTTTTTCTCTTTTTTTTCCTACTTTTATCAAAAAATTTTGAAGCAGCAAAAAATTCTGATAAAAAAGAATTTGAGTTTCTATTACCTTAAAAAACAAMTCCAAGCACTCAAATTTCATAACTTATACTATCCAAGCACTTAAGGCTGAGTGGTTCAACTTCTGTTTATGACTTTTTTAAGTAAGGACATTCCGTGGAATTAAACGTTCCAATTCCTCTCGTTTTTCATTTTTTAAAGACTATTTATACTTTGTACACATCTTAAGCGAACATGAATTGAAAACCTCAGAAAAAACTCTTCTTGTCGATTATAAGCAAGGAAATTGTCTTATAATACTTCATTGGACTACACACATAGATATCAAATTCCAAAAATAATAAGGCTTTTCTGACTGTTTCTTGTCGGCTTCATTCTTGTCCTTTACGATCAGATTCTTCTTTTCTAAATTAAAAAAAAAACATACAAAAAAACCATTAATAAAACAATCAAGAATAAAGAAAATATTAAGCATATCACAAGCATCAATCAAAACATTTCTATGATCATAACCATCATCATCGTTACCATAGCGACTGACTGACCCGGTTTTAAACTGTAAATTGATATTTGTAGTGTTTTCTAAATTTGCATCCCACATAAGATATAACTATCTTTCTTTCTAAAATTCTCAAAGCACTCTATATCACTGCATCTGCAAAAGGGCTGAAAGATTCTTTCAGCATTTCAAGGATAACAACATACGCATATAAACACTGATTCTGGTCATTTAAAATGGAAACAGCTACTGTCAGTAGTAAAGTGTTGGTTGTATCATTTTATCCTTGGTAACAGAACTCACCTTTGTTCCTTAAAGTCAAATGTCACATTGTCTCCAATCAGCATGAATGGAGCCCACTGGGAAACTTTGGTATAGCCGATATTCCTCAGCCACTTCATGGCCTGGTGAAGACATTCACTGGCACTAAATCCGTCAACAAGGTGTCTGTAGAAACGATTCATGAACTGCTCCGTTGCTTCGTCTTCAATGGCCCACAGTGTTGCCAGCACTGAACGTGCACCAGATGCCAAGAACGCGCGAGCGATTCCAATGACTCCCTCGACTTTGATTTCTCCACGTCCACTGTGGCAACAGCTGAGTACCACCAGTTTAGCTCGCAGTTTAACTTGTGAGATATCAGCGATCCTCAAGAGGTAGTCTTCTTC